GATGACAGGTCCTGCATAGATCATCACTTATGCATACTATGCTTAGGGAAAATATCAATTGCATATGAACACTTAAAGCTATAAGAAAAAAAGTTTGATAATGCAATTGAATAGGGTGAAATTCATCATATTGGCATAGCTCACAATATTTTCGTTTTGAATCGCCTTAAAGCGCAAAAGATTGATTATTCTCATTCAATTTCAGGCATAAGGATTTTAGGCAATTCTGTGTAAGGTGCTTCAAAGTAAATTATACAAATAAACACAAAAAATAAATTTCTTTAAAATTGTATAAAATAGCGGGTGACTTACTGATTCAATCCGGTGTAGGTAACGATGGTAAATTCGTCTGCTAAAAATAAATTTACCTGAGATATTTAACAGGATTAGAAATCAGCCAAGGTTTATACTAGGGAGATTTCCATTCGTTAATTTTCTTAATCTATTTTTATCAACTAATGGAAGTTGTTGATAGATGATCGGGGGAGGTTCCTACCATATTAAGACGAAGCGTGTCGAATAACAAAACGTGTAAAAGTGAAAGTAGTATTTCTAATAGTAGAAGAATCGTGATTTGATTCTGCAGGGACATTTCATTATGTTTAACTGGGATCTTGACAGTATACCTTTCTTAAAGTAATCGAACTCTTCCCACAAACCCTTTAATTCTCGAAGGAATTTCTTTCAAACTCTTATTTATGAATCTGGTAGATTGGCAATAGTTAAAGATGGCTTTCTTTATTTTTATTGTCAAATAAAGCAAACTATTTGATTAATTGATGTTTCTGTTGAATTACCATTATTCTTAATCATATCAGTATAATTCTTTTTGCATATAATTAAGAGTTTTAACCAATCGTAAATATCCATGTATTTACAGTCTGGATAAACAAAAGAAGTCTTTTTGACTTTTCTTGATTGGTCCCTCCTTGGAATTCTGCTAGTAATTCTCTTCTTAGTTAGCTAATTAAGTCATTAGAACACCTCTAATATAGGTATTAGCATTTTCATTTTCATAAATATAGATAGCTTGCCAGGCAAGGTAACATACGCCTACTGGCAGCTGTAGGCGTAAACATTTGATTAAACAGTCTTTAGTGACTACAGGGTTGCACAATATAGCTAATAGAGTGAAACGTCAAGTCAGACACGATATTTCGGTGAAATATTATCCGATCATCGCGAAAATCGATAGGGATCATCTTCATAATGACATTGACATACAAAATAAAAATCAAAAGAATCTGTAAACAATTGTAGCCTGTAGAGTGAGCACGAGTTGCACAATATAGCTAATAGAGTAAAACGTCAGGTCAGACACGATATTTCGGTGAAAAATTATCCGATCATCATGAAAATCGATAGATCATCATGAAAATCAATAGGGATCATCTTCATAACGACATAGACATACAAAATAAAAATCAAAAGAATCTGTGAAGAATTGTAGCCTGTAGAGTGAGCACGAGTTGCACAATATAGCTAATAGAGTAAAACGTCAAGTCAGACACGATATTTCGGTGAAAAATTATCCGATTATCACGAAAATCAATAGGGATCATCTTCATAATGACATTGACACACAAAATAAAAATCCAAAGAATCTGTAAAGAATTGTAGCCTGTAGAGTGAGCACGAGTTGCACAATATAGCTAATAGAGTAAAACGTCAAGTCAGACACGATATTTCGGTGAAAAATTATCCGATCATCACGAAAATCAATAGGGATCATCTTCATAATGACATTGACACACAAAATAAAAATCAAAAGAATCTGTAAAAAATTGTAGCCTGTAGAGTGAGCACGAGTTGCACAATATAGCTAATCGAGAAAAACGTCAAGTCAGACACGATATTTCGGTGAAAAATTATCCGATTATCACGAAAATCAATAGGGATCATCTTCATAATGACATTGACACACAAAATAAAAATCAAAAGAATCTGTAAAAAATTGTAGCCTGTAGAGTGAGCACGAGTTGCACAATATAGCTAATAGAGAAAAACGTCAAGTCAGACACGATATTTCGGTGAAAAATTATCCGATCATCACGAAAATCAATAGGGATCATCTTCATAA